TATTACAGGCAAAGTTTTAGAGACATGCAATAGTAGTACTGTTGTAGAGAAATTTTAATTGCTCTGGCCTTAAAATATGCAATACTCCAATTCATAGTTGAAAGCACCGTTTATTGCTTCAGTAATCGTAAAAAGAAGAGGTCATGAAAAATTGCAGTTGGACATTTAGGTAATTTACAGTTTTTTCAGTATTATACTAAACATCTCCATGTATAAATCTTTGTTCAAGTTTAGATTATTTTCCTAGGATAGATTCCTAGATCCCAGTCAGAAGTTATGAATATTTTTTAGTGCTTTGGTACACATTGCCAGATGGCTTTGCAGAAAGACTGTCAATTTTATATTCTTTTAATCGATTCCAATGCCTGTCTTGCCACATTCTTACCAGCTTTAGGTATTTTTACTTTTAAAAATCTTTGCACTGACATCTCATTTCATTTGGTAGTTTGAATTGTTTATATTTATTAGCTACTTTTTATGAATTGTATTTAGGTCTTTTGTTTATTTTTGTGAGCTTTTAAAATATTTTAGGAACCACCTGGCATTTTTCCAGAGAATCATTCATCATTCTTAAATAAATACATTTCTGTTGCTACTTATTCTTGTGCAAACTCAAATTGCCCATATGAGAAAAAAAATTGCCTAATTGCTATTCATTGTCTACAATTCAGACCGTAGACTCAAGATTTGGAGCAAACTTTTCTGTTCTGCTCCAGAGTATCCTCTAAAGTATAGCAAGATTCACCAGAGTGGTGGATAAACAGGCTTTGACATCCATCAATTTTAGCAACTTTAAAAGGATGCCTCAGTCTCTGAACTGATTCCTGAGTGTCCAAGGTGAAATTATAAAGGCAATGATATCCAGAGCATCAAAAATTTCTCCAAATTTAAGCAGTTAGCCTGGTCTTAGATGATCACTGTTGTCATAGTCCTAATTATAGTTCAATACATTTGTCATGTGGTTTACCTTCTCTTGTTTGTATGTATATGTATGGAGGTAGTATGATGTGTATGTAAACCTGTATATTTTTTATAATTATACTGAATTTTTTTTCAGTTATTTTCCATCACATTTACCCTCACAAAGTCTTTCTAAAAACAGTATTTAGTAGGAAACCCTACCCAAACCTCTGTGCCTTACTGATGAAAGCACAAAAACTTTTGCTCCAATGATGCATAGATTCTTACCTGGAACCTAGTGAGAGGGAAACCATTTGAAGTCCTTCCTTGAATTTGGGAACTTGGGAAAGAATGATTTTGGTATCTAACTGACCGTCGAGTCAGTATTTTCATAGTTTCACATAATTCATGGGTCTGCCTTATACATTGGTGCAGAATAATGTCCCCTGTTTCTGATTCTAAAGGCAGCAATCCACAGCTAGATGTTGGGAGTATTTCCATGAGGGGTTGTTCATTTCTTGCCGCAGCTGAGTTGATGAGCTATTCCCTTGGAACACTTCCACATGTGTGCAAGTCAGTGTGATCATGTTGGTTAGACTGTGGCTTTGATAATCTTATTCTTGATGTGATGTTTTATATGTTTCCTCTCATTGCTGGAAAACTACTTTGTTCCATAATGTCCCATACCTAGCTAGTGAAACATAATAATTGTTTTTTATTTTACAAATGAAGAAACCAAGCATCATGAATAGAATTCCTTACCAGACAACTCAGTCACATGACTATTCTCAGTTAGAGAGCTTCTTCCCCAGAGGTTGCCTTTCCCCATTAAATCACACTGAATTCCCTAAACGTGGCAATATTTAAATCAGTTGTCATTCTTGTGTCCACATAACAGAGCTTAAAAGATCTGTTCTGTAGACCCCATTCTGCCAGATCTTGAAGAGAGTCACTCTGTAATGATCTGCTGAAGCCACTACATTCCCAAAGCATTCACAAAAACTGTGCAGAATTTGTCACTAGAGTGAATATGCTGGAGGCTGACAATCTGCTCATAAAATAAAATTTGGTGTGGTGGGTATCTAATAGGGCAGTATTCTAAATCTTCTTTCATAAACTTGAGAATAAGAAGAGCTAAATTTCCATTTGGGTGACTAGTATATCATACTTAAAATCCTTCCTGTGTAGCACAAATATCTTGAGAATGTGTGATGATCCAAAGTCTAGAAGTCATCCTCCAAGTGTCATCTTATATCCACAGATGAAAAGAAATGAAGAAGAAATAGAAATTAGCATACTTGCAAGCCCAATAGAACTTATTTTCATTATATATTTTTGTTGGCATTGATCTTCATGATAGATTTTCAAAAACATAATAAATTTGAGTTCAGAATAAAACATATGTAAATCCTTTCTATACCTTATGTTTTAATATTTCTTATTACATTGAGTTGAGTTTAAAGTCAGAACAAACTATTATGGACCAAAAAATATTTTCAGTTAATTTAGGCCTGTCTGTGGTCACATGTTGGCTAACCATCTTAAATCTTTGGTATTTGCAATATATTCTACATGTGAAATGGGACTGGCCAGAAGTAAAACCAACCAAACAATAGCAGAGATGTCATTCAAAAGAGGTTTCTGAGAAAAATCTTTAGGATTGTCATCAGGAGCCTGAAAACATTATTAGTTGGAATTGGTATAACATTACCTATTGTCAAAGGAATAAATTGTACAATTTGAAAAATTTTATATGAATAAGTATTCAGAAGCAATGCTGAAATTCTGGAAGAGATACCAAATGTCTCATGCAAATATTGAGTAACTTCCCTGTTACACAATACCATATCAGCTCACAAACCCAATAACCATTTCATATTCACAGTTATATCAGAATAATAAATTGGGTGACACAAAATAGGCCATCTCAAAGGAGAGCTTGTAGTCATTTTGTATAAATTTTCCATTAAAGTAGGGCACATATAATTTTCAACTATATAGTCATGAAGAATTGAAATTATGAATATGAAATGCTTTTGTTAAATAGCATTCATTATAGTTTTCTTCTAGCAGAACACTTTAAGAATCTAGTTAGCCTATTTTTCCATTCACTTAATTTTGATTTGCTTTTAAAAGAAACTCTAGGCTTTATATAAACGATGCATAAACCAAATGAATTTTTTAAATGTAGCCAACAATGATTTTTTTTAAACTAAGGAGTTTTGTAGTTTATTTACTGAGAAAACTTTGTAAAACTTTATAATTGAAGATTCTTTTAAAATATCCTATTTTATGTTAGGTATTCCTCTCTGCCCTCATTAGGTGTGTCTCATCATTAGAGATAATGTTACTAAATAGTTGTAACTTTACAGCTGCTCTGATTAATGATGGCTTGGACTAAGGTTTCATTGGGTAGGATTAACTATGTTTAAAGATGGCAAAATGCCATTATAACATTAATGCCAGAATTTAATGAGAACCAGAAGTTAACTTCAAGGACCTTTATAATTTAATATGAGGGCATGATCATGTTCTCATTATTTTAATGTAGTGTCCTATTAAAGTAAGTTATTCTTTTTATCTTTTTTTGTAGCAATAAAAATGTTTGCCTAGCAATCTATTGAAAATCGACATGTGCCAATCACTGTGCTAGGGTCTTAAAGAATGTGACCATTTTCTATCCTCCATAGAAACAGATCCTTTCTGATCAGAAAATGAGAAGTGCCTCCCTTAATTTAGAAATCTCAGGCCTTCCTTAATCTTGGATGGCTCTGGCCTCCTAAGACATGTATTTAGCTAATCTGGTTTCTTTTGTTATCAGTCACCGTCTCTACTGCCTAGATTGCAATGAAAAGGTCTACAATAGTGAGTTTTGTATGTGTGGGGAGGTTGAAGAGTATCAATTAGAATTGGATGTGCATCAGTGGTGCTGATTACTGTGGCATCTAATGGCTGCACCCCACAGGAACAGAAAGCAAGCTTTGTAGAACTAAGAAATCCCACAGAGGTGGGGACTCTAGGAGAGGGAGAATAACTATAGAATGTTTTCCAAGTTGACTGAAGAATCTTTCTGTGCTGAAGGTGTACAGCAGTGACTTACCTTCTGTAAAATACCAGGGATTCTAAAAGCCCTTTTCTTTCCTATAAATCCCACGGATCCTATGTGGTTAGAACCTACAGAGGGCAGTGGACCAAAACCAAATGTCTTGTGCTCCTAATTTTTTTTTCTTCCTTCAATCTTATGCATACATATATGCAAAGAAATGCTGAAACCCTCTACATTAAGACTATAGACCATAACCACAAAGTATAAGACGTACAATATGGCAGAGGGAAAACTGTACCCCAAAACTCCTGGTGGAGGAAAGCCAACTATTTAGTTTGTGGTCTGGGCTTCCTAGTTGCTAAGACAAGAAAAAAGGAATAAGTTGGTGTGATTTTTCTGGTAGTAAAACAGTATATCAGAATAAACAAGTGTTCTTTTTGTTCGTGAACAGCTTGTCTAGGAGTTTAGAAAAGAACCCATAGACACATAACATTGTCCCCATGAATTGTTATAGAAAGTTAAAAAGCATGGCACATATGTCATTTCACATACTGGTGTTTGGAGAACGTAAAGGGAGTAATGTTAACAGCAAGACTCCCTTCCTCTGGGACAGGGAGAGGGTAGTTTGAAACTTCTGGTATATTTACTGTAGATAGGTGCTTATTTTCTTTCGATCCACTGACATGTGGAGCAGTAGAAAGATGTAAAGATGTCTAGTAAAGGGTAGCATTGTTAAAAGTAGGAGGGGATAAATGGAATTTTTGTGGCAGGATGATATTTGAAAGACTGATCTGGCCGCTGGGAGGTTTTTAAATATGCCAGTTCCCTGTAACAGGAAGATCAGTCTCTGTTTTAGACAGCATATCCAATTTAGTAAATTATTATTATTCCGTCAAAATTAATGTGAACAATTTTCTCTTTGAGGCTGCTTTTTCCATAGGTGATGTTTTCCAGATGGGCTTGGTGCAAAACTCACAATGTTTTGTGTTTTCTTTCCTAAAGAAAGGGCCTTTTCTGACGTCTCTCCTTTTTAATTCTCCTTCCCCCATTGTAGGGAAGAGAACACCCAAGGCAAAGGAGAAGAGGAACAAGAAGAAGAAGAGGAAGCTGATAGAAAGAGCTCAAGAGCAACACAGTGTCTTTCTAGCTACAGACAGAGCAAACCAATAAGAGATGTGTATGGTGTCTGGGGGCGGGGGTGTTGTTTTTGCAAAGGTGCACAAAGCTACTCTCCACTCCTGCACACTGGTGTACAGTGTTCTTAGTAACATTGTGAAAGGAGGATCCCCAAGCATGGTCTCTGGGTTATTTATGCTTTGATTTGAATCTGAAGCCTGCAAAGGCAGGAGCTCATTGACCTTAACCAGTGGAAGCTGTTATAAGTGCATGACCTGTGATTGACTGGGTGCATGCGGGCACTGCGGACATGCGGGAGGTGAGGCTGTTGGCCACCACTGGAGAAGGCACTTGTGCCTATTTATGTGAAAGAAGATGCTCAGCAGACGAAGTGCTATTCACTTGTGACCTTTATTTCTCACATTGTGCATTTTCAAGGATAAATGTCCGTGGATATTTGCTTAGCGTTACCACATGGTGTTCTCAAGCATCTGTGACCTGCAAACTGTCCTGTGATGTGGCTGCTTTTTAGCTGGGGATATGCAACAGAAATTCCTGTTCAGTTTCAGTGCAGTGCTAACATGTACATATTCTGCTGGGGCTACATACAAAGTCCTATTTACTGTATATTTATGCTTTCTTGTGTGTAATAAGTCATACCTGATTAATATGATGTCACTTTGTTTCTAGTGGTTTCTAACCATTGTCTGGTAAAATGACTTAGTTTTGCAAATTGACAAATGTTTTGTTGCCTCTTGGAACTTGTTTTTGTGTGTTTGGGCTTATTTCTCATTGTAAAGATAGGATAAGCTAATTTGTACATAGTCAAATGACTGGTGTCAAAGTTTCAGTATCAGCAGACCTTCCCCAGTCCGTGTGTCCCACAAAAAAAGCAGCATGTGACATCTGGCCATCAGAAGCCAGAACTCTGAGTCTATTATGTGATGGCTTTATGAAGCATGAAGAACTATATGCAATTGTAGTACTCACAGTGTAGTTTATTTCTGACTTACAAAAAAAAAAAGGTAACCCAATCCCTGACTTTTAATGGCACCTACCAATGTTCTTGGCCCTCTCTAAATTTGTATCATGAAACCAGGAACAGAATTGAGGAGAAAAGTGGTTGAATTGCTACAACTGCTGGTCAGATGTAAACAGATTTCCAGTAAGCCAGAATCTATTTCATATCCAAAACAGAGGAACATGATAGAAACTTCCCAGTTGACTTACAGAGCAGTTGTTTCATAAACATCACGGTCCACTCAGGGCAACAGGTTATTAGTTAAAAATTGGCTTCTTTTAAAAACATCGTTACCTTACTGACTGATCCAGGAGAAAATTAGGACACAAAATAAATGGTTGTAGATTATTGAGGAAATAACCAACTTAAGGTAAAACCCTTTTTTCACCTTGCATTGGCAAAACTACCTCTTCATTTTTGTTAACGTTTGAGTAAAAAGCATCTTACGGATACGTATAAATGTCATATGCATCATTATGAAAATATTGCTATGAGATGATAATAAGCCATATATGAATGTTGTATACAACTTTAGGGTTTGCATTTAATCCTAAAGTGCTCACCTCCTTTCATGTCTATTTACACTATATTCCTATTTACTAAGTGGGGAGGGGTCTCCTTTATATAGTGCTTCATTGTTAATAAGTTGATGCCTGTTCTGTTTCTGTTCTTTTGTGCATTAAAAACTATAAAATTAATTTTTGTGGATTTTTTTACTTCAGGAATACATTTAAGGAAAAATGCAATATTTTTATAGCCCTGCCTCCAAATAATGGTCCTTAAAATTTTTTTAAATCGACTAGTATTATTTCTAGGGTAAGTTTCACTATAAATTATAGTAGTTAAAAGTGACAATTTGAGACCCAGAGTGCTTGAGTTCCAATCCGGAGTGGACTGGGATAAATCTCTCCAGGATAGTTTTGGTATCTGTGGAGATCACAGTACTACATGCATGTAGGGCTGTGTTTTAAGGACTAAAATATGTAGTCAGATTGCCATTCATGTAGATTCCACATCAGTGTACTCAACCAACTGTGAATCAAGAATATTTGAAAAAAAATTTGTACTGAACATGTACACTGTCATTGCCTAAATAATACAGTATGACAACTATTTATGTAGCATTTACATCATATTAAGAGTTGCAAGTAATCTAGAAACAATTTAAAGTAAATGGGAGGATATGCATTTTATGCAGATACACCATTTGATATGATTCAAGCATCTTTGGATTTTTGTCATCCAGAGGGACTCCTGGAACCAATGCTGCACAGATACCAAGGGACAACTATGAGAATTGTCTTTTGAGGAATATATTTGGTGAAATGTAAAACGTGCTCATCACAGCATGGTATATTTTAAGTACTACACAAGCTATTACCTGTTATCTTGTCCATTGGACATTTTGTTCTTTCAAAAATATTTCTCCTTACCAACAATATATTTATGAAAATTTCGGTATCTTTAAATTTATCGATTGGTGCCTAGCCATTATTTGCTAAAACTTACATTCTCATGGGAATTTATTTACATCTACTTGATTTCTGTCTCCTTGTTGTAAACAACATATATAAACTGAACTCATTACATGTAGTTGGGATACAGTCAGGGAGATAAAACAATCTAAGTATTTCAAACAGGAAATTTAACATAAATTGATTATGCAGGTGATACATGAGTCAAGAAACCAAGATGGATTACCAGGACAACCTAGAGAGTAGCAGCAACAGGAAGCCTCTGTCACCCTTAGGGTGAAAAGGGTTACCCAAAAGGTAGAATTTCCAGAACTCAGATGCCCAGGCCCCCCAAAGAGAATTAGATAGCTGGGGCAGGAGCTGGAACCAAGGACAGAAAGCTTGTCTGGTAGGAACTGAAGTCCTAGAGATGATCTGGTCACTATGAGAAATATTGCTTGAGCCAAAGTGAGAGGGAAAAAATATGGACGTCTCCCTTGCCCTCAGTGTCTGCCATTGTCCAAACTGTCGAAAAACCAGTGGGCAAAGGATTCTGGGTAACACAATGTTCTGTGATACAGAGGGTAACTCTAAGAGCAAACAGATGATCAGCAGAACCACCAAGGCCTGTCTCCAAAATTACTCCTCTTCCAGCCTTCATAGTTAAAAGTATCTTTTATCTACTTTGTTGCTTAAACAAAGGCCCTTGTATTTATCATTGACTTCCGTGGTTCCCTGTATAGGATCAATTGCTAAATTCTAATGTATCTACCTTAGAGACCTCTCTTTACTTTCTTTCCATCTCTTCCTCTTTTTTTGTCCTAGGCCTGGTTCTCTGTCTCTCTAGGGTATTTTATTATTCCTAAATATTATTCTCATCCCTGGCTTACCTTCCTCCAATTATACCTTTGTTTTTGCCAGTTGTCTTATCTGTCCAGCTGTTATTTTGCTAAATACCTCCCTGTTCCTTAGTCTTTAAATTTTTCCACATTGGATGCCAAGCTCTTTTAATGATTGAATGGACTATAATGATTATTTTTGTAAAATTTTCAGTTTTTCCTTAATGGTAACCTTGGACATGCTCAGTATCTTAGCTGATACTTTTGGAATCATGAAGGTAGAAATATAAGTGCAAATACAGCTTTAGAAATAGATGATAAACATGTTAAAATAGATTAAGAGGCTGAGCAGTCAAAAAAATACGTTGAATAAAGGTTTAGACAGATTCCCATATGAATTTATGACAAATCATAGATTCGAATCAAACTGCCACGTGCTGCCACCTTCGGTCTAGCAGACATTGTTAATCACATGCTTTTAACCTCTGAGTAAAACACAGAATACTTTCCAACGGTGGGGTTCCAAAGGAGTACCACCAACAGGTTGGAGTTGAGAGTTGCAGCTTTTTGCTTCCCAGGTTCAAGTCAATGCCTTCAAGAATGACAATTGTCTTTATCTAGGAATCCTCCTTGGAGCACTCCATGTAGTATATTTTTAAACTTTTATATGAACGTATCCTTAAAGACAAAAAAGCAAATTCATAACTCTAGGATTATAACCAGATCATGTTTATTTAACTTCTGATTTTACTATAAAAATTCACGCAAATTTTGCATTCTACTCAATGAAGTGTCTTCATTTTAAATGCAAAATTGTTCCCCCAGCATTCCCAAGAAATCACCTTCCAGAAGATGTACCATGTTTATTAGGACCTGAGTTTCTCATTACTCCATGGCACATAACCCCGTATGGGAGAAAGGCATACCCCTCTTTAAGAAACTGAGCAGCAGTCCTTTCATAGAGGCTTTGCCCACTAACTCCTCTTTGGGTTTTATAACCTCAGCTCAGATGGTGGCATGCTCTTCATATGCACATCCAGTTTTTATTTGATTCTCTTCTTCTAGCTTCCTCTGTCTTGCTAGTTTATTTGTGATTCAGCCATAAACCTTCTTCCTCACGTCTTTTTTAGCATGCACACAAACCTTTTTCTGTAAAGAGCCAGAGAATAGATATTTTAAGTTCTGTGAACCACATGGTGTCAGTCTCAACTAGACTTTGCTGATGTGCCTGCCCCAAAACAGCCATATTCAGCAAGTTAATGAGAGGGCATGAGTATGTTGCAATAAAAATTTAAAAGCATATTACATAGTTATTGTGTGTTATGATATATCATGACTCTTGATTTTCCCAACCATTTAAAATTTTTTAAATTGTTAGCTTACCATCCATGAAAAAGAACATGACAGTCTGGATTTGACCTCCAGACAGAATTTGTTGATCCCACCATGGAAGACAGCTGGTTGGTTAATGTACTACTATTCTTGCAAACTCTAAGAGGCTACCTTCATCTCTGTCTCCACGATCCACACTGCCCCAGGAGGAGTCCAATAACGAAGGTGTTGAATGCATATGTCATTTTAATAACTGGGTGGTTAAAATAAAGGATAAGTCTCAACTTTATATTCGTGATATTTTACTCCACTTTTAGTTTTCTCTCTTATTGTCCATAGGCTATGCTTATTTCAGAACCAGACCTAATGTGAAACAGTAACTTAAAAAGCAAAATTATTTTTTTTCCA